ACAGCAGCAAAAACAGCAAAACACCTGCACCAAGAGACGCAGCTGCAGCTCTTGCAAGCAGCAACAGCAGCAGCAGCAACAGCAGCAGCAGCAGCAACAGCAGCAGCAAAGTGTGTACCCCGATGAGGTCCAGCGCAAGGTCTAAGTTAATTTTCAAGGGAGGCACGAGGCCCTCTGTGATGGTCTTCGTGGGGGCCCTCATATTTGTAAGCTTTTTGGCTTTGCAGATATTCACCTGCAAACCAAGCACTCAGCCAACAGCTAGCTAGCTAGCTAGCTAGCTAGCTAGCTAGCTGGCTAGCTATCTGCCTGTTGAGCTAGCTAGCTACCTGCCTGTCGAGCTAGCTGACTAGCTAGATAGATAGATAGATAGCTAGCTAGCGGCTTGGTTACCCAGCTAGGTAGCTAGCTAGCTAGCTAACCCCCGGGGGGCCCCCCGGGGAGCCCAGGGGTCCCCAGAGAACCCCCAGGGGCCCCCGTGGGGGCCCCCGGGGGGCCCCGGGGGGCCCCCTGGGGGCCCCCTTGGGTTGAATCTTACCGGCAAATCGTTTGGCCTCTTGTGGAGTCCCACAAGCATCCCCGCGTAGACCTCATCGCCAGGTGACACAAACACCTGTCCTCTTTCCTGCAGCAGCAGCAGCAGCAGCAGCAGCAGCAGCAGCAGCAGCAGAACTGCGCATGGGCTGCCTGCTGCGAAGAAGCCCCCGAGGCAGCTCTTTGAAAGCCTCACAGCGCCAGGCAGCTAGCTGCAAACTAGCTAGCTAGCTAGCTACTTGGATAGCAGGCTAGCTAGCTGGCTATCTAGCTGGCTAGATACCTGGCTAGCTAGCCAGTTGTTACGCATGCATGCACAGCAGGGCATGCAAAGAAGGGCACTGCGGTGTACATCCACTCCAGAAGGATACTTTTCTGAGAAGCGAGTCGCAACTCTGGAAAACAAAGTGCTGCTACTGCTGCTGCTGCCGCTGCTGCTGCTGCTGGAAAGAGCAGCAAATGGAAAGCAGCAGATCACCTGCGCATGCATAATGCCCTTGAGAGTGGCAGCTCCTCCCTCAACAGCAACTAAGAAGCCCTTTTGTCTTTCTTGTTTTTCTCCACTTTCAACTTTTTTTTTGACATTTGAAAAAGACTTTGAGGACTTTTGCTGCTTCTCCCCTTCCTTCGGAATCCGCTGCTGCTGTTGCTGCTGCTGCTCCAGCAGCAGCTCCTTCTCCCGCTCCTCGTCCGCCTCCTCCATGCCCCCTGCTGCTGCTGCTGCTGCTGCTGCTGCTGCTGCAGCAGGAGGGGGGCCCCGGGCCCCCCGAGGC